CCCCCAAGTTCGCGGATTTTTATTTTGCGGTTCTCGTTTATTCGCAGATGACACCCTGAATGTCTGTGGGCAGTTTTAAAGTTGCTGGCTTTTTCGTGGCTGGGACAGGGAGCCATTCGTTCTAGAGACAACAATTTCCTTTACCTGTATTGTACTGTAAATATATGTGTGTGTATAGACACACACACAAAACCGTATCCTATTAATTAAGTATTGTAATAGAGAACGGACTTGAGGGTAGACTGTCACATTTTTAATAAATTTGTTTCTGATTATTTGTGAGAAGATTTTCCCATTATTATTTATTTGTATGTGTGTGTAGACACACGCACACACACACATATACAATACTACAGGTAAACGAAATATTTGTCCTAAGGGCAAACACATAAAGGGAATATACATTTCTTTGTACACAAGTAAAAATGTAATCCCACCCCCTCCTCGCAAATGTTATTTGCAGCCATTTTAAGAACCTAACCCCTGCGAAATTAGAAGGCCCCCCTGTACTCTACAATTCCTGATTTGTAACCAAACTTAAGCCTAAGCAAAGGACCCTACTGGAAATAAGCATCTGATGGATCTGTTGGTTATCCTTGGTCAAACTGCTTTACTGTTTACTAATGTTGAATCCGCACTGTCTTGGTGCATTGGAGACTGTATACGGTACACCTCTAAAGTTTATGTACACCGTATACCTGCATTGTCTATTCTATACATATGTTGAACTGTATACTGTACCTGCATAGTCTATATCCAGTACTGTACATGCCCAACCAATTGTAAACTTGTATGATTATTTTAATGAATAAATATCATAATTACTATTGTTCCATTCATGAGCCACCTTACCTAGTGTATTGGTTGGTATTGTTGGTATTGTTAGTAATATGGAAGGGACTTTAGCAATCATGGCTGTATCGGGATATCGCCCTACTAATCTAATGGTTCTCCCATTCACAATTGTGGATTGGTGGCCATAAGGCCACCTTGGTAGGAATTTCTTTATGATGTAGAAGTTACCAGTTTAATTAACAAAAGAATACTGGCAAAGGTTTCATGTGTTACTTTTCCACACCTAGTATCTCAGAGACATAGGCTAACAAGTGTTAGCAACGTAGATGATAATAATACATATTATTATCAACTAAACCTATTACTTGCTGCATTTGGGTGTGAGAGAAGCAGTTATTCGAGATCTATCACCTGTATAAAAAATACAGAACATACAATAAAACTAATAAATGGAGATGGGAAATGAATTTGATACAAATGATATGTTAACCTACAATCATGGCAACTTGTCAAATTCATACCAAAACTCCACTAGTTGAGTTTTATAATCTGGTTTGTTATGTTGCTGTTCCTGTACCTTCACATGTAATGAACAACACATACCTACTACTGCCACAACCTTCATACATCAGAAAAAATGTTCACTCACAAAATATTCTATTCATAAAGTGAATGCCCCACAGGAGGCAGCTGTCCAGGGAAAGCAATCATACTATTCATTCACTAATCTATGTTTGCACCAAATTCTCCACATATCCTCTCACAAGAGCAAAAACTAATGAATGCATGTGTTAATTATTTTGCCAACTATTGAGAGATAGGGAGAAATTTCTATAGCATTAAATGATTTATGGGGTTGTTCCAGTAGCTAATGGCAGCAACTGAAGAGAGTCCATATTTGTTCTTGGTTTTAGCCACCCTACAGCATTAAGAGAATGGGCTTACAGGATAGGGAAAACTATATACTGTACATAAACTATTATACACTCATTGACTGTGAGGATACCATATCACAAAGTATACAAAACAATAAAAAAAGGTCTCAAAACACACATTTCACAATGGGGTTTCATTCAGGGCATCAGAATTTCCACTTCATAATACACACACAAATTACTGGTGAAGCTGAACAATGGGTACATTTCTTATATAGCACGTTATGGTATGGTTAATATACAATGACCTTTACAAAAAGTTTGGACAAAACCTTGAGACTAAACGTAAAATTTTATCACATATGTTAACTGCTTAAGAGTTACATAACATCATAACAATAAACCTATTTTAAATAATCATGATAATAAGAAAAGAAGTGTTGAAGCAGGAAGATAAGTATGAAAAGGTGAAGATAAGTATGAAAAGGTGATCTTAATTCTAACACAAGACTGGCACAGGAAAAGTGATTGATCCCCTGTATAGTGTGGTGATGGCATAGCAGTAACCCAGTGTAAACCTTGAAGCAAAGATACAACTTCACATGACACTGACTCTCTGAGAAATTATCATACTGTACATGGAAAACATGAGACATCACAAATGTTTTAAAGTTCAAATTCTGCCGAAATTCACATACAATCCTAAACTACAATACTATAAAAGATGTGTAAAATATCTTTTAGAAATTCTTCTGCATCAAAATCTATTGGGTGTCTACCAGCACATAATTGAGTCCCAGGTATAAGAGTGGTGATATGAGGATGAAGGCAGCTCATCGGGCAGCCCAAGACCTCCACATTACTTAGTACAGTATATACAAACCTACTGTACCTTCATCAATCTGTATTTCCTTGGATTCTTATTCCGGGTATGCATCCAATGCTTATGATTCACTCACAACAACACAAACTTGTACAATGCATTTGAAAAGAATTCATAAAATGAACTAGCTTTGTGTATGTTAAGTGGTGTTATGGCAGTACCATCTTGCTCACTTCACTGGCTGACCAAAAACAAGAGTACAGTATTACATTATGTGGAGTTCTGAGACTGAACTGGTGGAAGTATTAGTTTTCCTTAACAATGGATAAAGGGTCGCTCACTCCTTACTGTAGTCCAAATTTGCACTAAACATTCAAGATGCACCAGTTCAAAGTACTCAATCAATACACTTCATGTTTTTACATTATTGCCTGGAGTCTATGAATACCACAGGAAAAAAACAAAACTAAACTTTAGTTAGCAGACAAATGCAAGTACCTTTACCCTGGAATACAGCACTGATAACCAGAAGCACCCAAAACACAATAAGGTACTAAATTGGTCACAGTTGCTGACATGATAAACCTGCTTTATAAATCATTCTTTGGTATACTGCACGACACAAGCCTTCATAACAAGAGGATAATGTTCTTTATAAATTAACCATAGTAGTTCAAAGCCAGTACATATATACAGACTTGCATTCATCTGCAGCTTTAGCACTAGATACCACCCATATGTAAGTACATGGACTGTGATTTTGTATTCAAATATCTTTTTCAAGTTTTCAAGCTCATTAAGCCAAACTTTTCTTTGTTCTTTTGTGTGTGAAGCACAGGTAAAATTTGAGACATGCATACAGGAGGAGAGAGGGGGGGGGGGACTGGGGGGGAAAATTGAAACGAGGTAAATGGGAAATATCACTAACCAATTATTTATTGCCATTTACAAATTGATTTTAATATGATCTTTTTATTAATGCAGAATCAATTAAAACTTATAAGACAATGCTTATACAGTAGATCTCTCAACACCACTTTATAGAGTAAGAATTCCTAAAAACAAAAAGCGACTTTAGCCACCTCCCACAGCAAGTACAGTACTACAAAACAACATTAATATAAAATATAACTCAAGACCTTTTTATACCTGTGAATTCCTTTGTATATTTATTAACTTAGCTTAGTGGCCCTGAATGACACACACGCACACACAGACCTTCAATTTGCTAACATTCGCTTCCTTAATCTTATAATACCTCAATGCCTATTAATCCCTCGATTAACGAACGGTTCAATTAACGAAATTTCGGTTAACGAATTAGCTCCCCTGAGGATTTTCAGTTCCATTAACGAACAAAACTTCGATTAACGACAGCCTTATGAGAAACACGCTTTGTTGTGCGCATCAGCTGATCGGCTAGTCCGCCAATACAATTGGATCTATGTTTACATTCGTTTCCAGTGGAGTAAACATCAAGCAAGTTGGCCTCTAGAATATTTTTGCATTTTTTATATTAAAATTATTGGTCATTCTGAAATTTAGTTAACATATTGATAATATACAGTGCAGAAATTATTATGAAACATGAAGAAGGCATTAAAACCAATGCACTTTGTAAAGAAAATGGCATGTCATCATCGAATGCCTCTACAATCGGTTGTATGATATGTAAACAATGCTGCCGGGAATACGACATACACACCTCAAAGTAAGTTAAAATACTGTATTCTATTGTTTTATATTTATTATTGCACTGTACAGTATACTGTACAGTACAGTACTGTATTTAGTTTATATTTATTGTTTTGTTAATTCTATTACTGGTATACAGTACTTTATATGTATACTTTTTCTGTGAGTTGGAACCAATTACCCAAAATCCCATTGAAATAATAGATTCAGTTAACAAAATTTTTGGTTAACAACAGACTCTGTGGAACCAATTGTGTTCGTTAATCGAGGGACAATTGTGTGTGTGTGTGTGTGTGTAAATATAAATATAAATATATATATATATATATATATATATATATATATATATATATATATATATATATATATATATAATCACACGAAGACGAAAGCCAAGGCAATTCGCTGTTTCATCTGTGATTTTATCGAAGATTTATCTTAGACTTAAATATTCCAAAGTTTCCTGATGAAACAAACACCCCAGACTTAAATCCACCACTGTGAAGAATTATGTGTGTTTGCTCAGCACGACGACGAATTGTTAACTGATACCATAACCGATCTATACAGCCCATACGCACGAACTGATCATATATAAGAATGCTCCACCAGTCCTAAATCCACAAAAATTATCAATAACTTGTAAATAAATCATGTATTCATTCTGCAAAATCATCGTTCAAAATTGTCAACATGCTTAAAATGAAACTGTAGTTTGAGCTTTTCCCATATCTAGTTATTGAGAGCGTCTTATTTGCGCCACCATGCTATTTGCAGAAGTTATTTGTAATTCGTAACCCATTCCCCAAATATGTAACTGTATATTTTCAGCCTTCTGGCTGCCAAGCTCTTTCAATAAACCGTTAATTATTATTATTATTATTATTATTATTATTTATTATTACACACACACACACACACACACACCCTTACTTGGTCATCAATATAATTCACAATACATTGTACAAGTTAAAAGATCTACTGCATTATAAATGATCATTATTTACATGTCAAACATTGCATCTTCAGTCAGGTGGAATAATAAATAAATTTATCCTTCATCTCAATATAGGTGATGTTTATAAAGAACCTGTAAATCACATACAAGCAAAAGACAAAAGTTTGACCTGATGTCAGAGCATGAAAACAATATAGGTGAGGACAATATACAGTAGGTGTCTCGCCTGTGGGACCTTGAGGAGTGATACTGAAACCTCTCATGTACCCGGGATGAGTTTTCTATATACAGTATGGGAAAATGGATAACACTGACCAACTTTATAAAACTCTTGGCCTGTTGTCAGCAATTAATATGCTTTACAAGTTGCAACATCACAAAGGCTAACATGTTTTACCATAGACTCCATAATAAGTTAAACAAGTGTTCTTTGCCAAGGCCTCCTATGGCTCTACAGCAAAAGGCTCTCTATACAGACATAAAACTTTGGTCACCTATTCTCAGGAAACATTACCTCATATTTCTTCCTCAAACATGATAAACTCAAGAGAGACTCAAGTACAAAGATTAAACAACATGACTAAATAGCACATTCATTAATGAAAATATTCACAATGTTTACACGTAACTTGTCATGCTGCTTCACTGGAACACAAAGAAAAAGAAAAATCAATTCTATAATCTATGTACTGTATATTATGTATTCATGTATGCATGCACACAAAACATACAAGCACACATACATGCAGACACTAAAATCAATCAGACTAATGCAGATACAAACCTGCATGGCAGCTGCATACACACACACCACACACTCTCACTTGCATGCACGCATACATACACACACATAAAACATGATGCAAATCTTAACACAAGTAAGGATTTGATTGTGCAACACAGAGTTAACTCAGTCTTAACAGATCAAAATCTTTTCTCACTCAATGTCAGATTTCTATCTTCACACAGCTTCACTTCCTCTTTAAAGGTTCTACATCTTTTATTGCATATATTTTTCTGTTATGTAAACTATTCCACAAAAAATGTACTATTAAAATGGAAAAAGATTTTCTTCTCACATTCACTGGTCACCAACTGGTCTATACATCCAGCAACCATCTTCACTATATCACTGAGAGTGTAACAAAGATACACATAGTTCAAGGGAGACTCATGCCAACACAAAAATCCATGTATAAGCCACACTCTGTCCCCTACATAACATTTAGGAAGATATTCTGTGAGGACTATGTTAGCACAGGGCTATACAGCATTACTGTGTATCAGTCCCAACTGAGATGACTCTGAGTGTGAAGGCTGAGACACTGAGCCATCTATTGAGTCCAAGTCAAGATCATATGAGCTGTCTAGAAGATATAATTGGCTGGTTGACACCCCTGTTGTGCCCCCCACACTACCACTGGTGGTAACACTTGTACTGTTCCCCACCACAGTGTTTTCTCCGGGACTGGCCTGTGGCTGGTGAATGGCTGCAGGGGCCAAAGTTGACCCCACAGTTGTATGAAGAGGATTGACAGGGGATGTCGGGCCTGCTGGAGTACTACTCACTGCTTCTTTTCCTGTAATACACATCATAATGTTATACTTGTAAATCAATAATCATAAGGCAAAAAAATTTAATCAATGTTATAGTATGTATGGAGAAGGTGACACACACATTGAACATTAACAACTAGTATACAGTACAACATTTAAACATTCTACAATTTCCAAACCTACGATGACATGGTTACTCATGATGCAGGAATCGCGAGTCAAGCATTGCAGGTGTATCAACATTACCACTAAACACTAACATGAAAAAATTATATAGAGAGATATCAAGAGCATAGGAGCCTAACGGTCAACCCAGCAATCATAGATTTAGAGTTTAACTCCTTCGGGAGTGACCAAGTGCAACTTAATGACAGTGGTGCTCTATACTACAGCGTGATATCTAATGACCATGCTGCAATAGTCTTAACCCACCTTCAATATCCATGACATGCTAAAGGTATTAATCAATAAGATAACATCAAGTTTAGCAATTTTCAATTCAGTCCACAAGTGAACTGCGAGATGACTGATTGTGCAAAATTATGGGGATATGTTGATCATCAAGCTCTTCCATATTTTTTCTCAATTTTCTCCCGGATATTTTTTGTTGGACTTTGCCACATGGGTTCCCTCTGTGCACATGACTAAAGTTGTTGTTGTTGATGTTGTTGCTGATGATGTTGTTGTTGACATTTAGGCCTAGTGGAGGGGATGTCACAGCCAGTGGAGAGGAGGGAGGCAGCGTGAGGGGAGAGAAGAGAGAGAGGGACACACGTTAGAGCTCCACACCTACACCACCACACTAAGTACGCTGCTTCCGGGTCAACATCACCTTCGACCCCTCTTAAACAAATCTCGCCTCTAACAACAAAAAACATGTAGAGATTCATGTAACAGCACAACACATTCACCAACACTACAACCTATTACACACTCAAATTACTTTCTACACTACTACTATTCAGATATTACTTGTTGGTCTTGTCTTTTTTTTTTTTACAGATTCGCAAACAATAATACAGTACATTAAACGAAATACATAGTCACCAATAAAATAACTTACACATGACAACATACACCAATATATACAATCAAGCTTAACAGTAATTGATTTTTCACTGAATGATAAGCCTGGTAAAACTACACTATTTCAATAGCTTGTTAAGCACTTCTCCCAGAGTGTTAAAAGATGAAATCACAATAAATAGGAACAAACAAGTAAAATCAATAAAGTTAATACAGAGAGAATACCTACCACACAGCAAAAGATATTGAGTGCTGTCTGTGAGGTGACAAGGTGGGAAAGGAACCTGAGAAGCCATTACAGTACAATATAAACACTTACGTATGAGTATTAAATAGTGTTTCACTTTCAAGTGGTTCTTAACCTTATGAGGAATATGGCTGCAGATGTTATGTCTGCAAAAAGTGCTTCCCACGAATGAATGGCTACAGCATATGCAGGCAGGCAGATTCAAAATATCCTACACTTGCATAATAAATGCCTCTCCTACACTAGCCCCTAACTTGTGTTGCAGTACTAAGAGAAGAAAGAATTATTGGTTTGTTGGTGACAAAATATTCCAAGACTCAAAATTAATAGTAATAAGCTGCAGCTATCATAGATGTACACAGCAAAGACTTAAACAAAGAATATATCCCTATCAGGCACCAAGGTGAGAATGAGTACTTGCACTTGAGAAGTTCCTTGACACAGAACTCATGGATATATTTTTGAGGCGAAATTACACCAATCCATTTCATAATTCATACTGGTGAAAAATACACCCATAAGCCTTATACCCACCCCAGAATACATCATATTTCACAAAATTTTATATTGTAACCTAATGACATGACCTTTATCCCCCTATTTAAAACATGCTGCTTTATATTTTTTCTTCAACATTTTATGTCTAAGGTCAAGTATTTACATAAATTTAATTGTCCAATAATATTTCTGACAAAATATTACTGTCGAGTGTTATGGCCTCAAAACTCACTGGTTGTGTGGAAAGTAAATTGGAACACAGTTTTAGTAGGCCCCCAATCTAACCTAACCACGATGATTAGGGTTCATTAAGATTGGTATTGCTTAGGACTGAGGCCTATTACATGTATACAGCATAAGGAATGTGCTTCAATCCATTTGATTATTTTTTTGATTGGGGTCCAATAGAAGTGAAACCCAATGTAACCTGTTAATACCCGAGTCTTCCAACTTCAGTGTGCTAACATTCAAGGTTGATAAGGATATTAGGAAAAGTGAGACAAAGGTAGAGATCAAATCTGGCTTGAGGATTTCATTTTGAACGAAGACAATTTGGGATTTCTGTTTTCAGTCAAAGTATATAAAAGGGTAAGTCTGAGCAAATACCATACATTTCATAATAGGTTATACTAGTATCTCTCAAATGGGAAGTCTGGGCACATACCACCACAACACAAACTGGAGAAGGATAGTGGATGCCATCTTTGACCTTTAATCCTTAACTGACACCCAATGATTCTCTACTCTACCCACACAAATATAAAATTGAACGCAAATTGTTCACTGATGGTGGCCGCCATTCCTAAAGCTAACTTCCACCGGTGATAGTTTTCACACAAGGGTTAAGGTGTTTTGGCCACAATAATACCTCTTCAAAACTTTCTGGGAAACCTGAGGAGTGAATCGGATAAAATCCACACAAGTTCTTAAAGTCAATATGGACATCAACTACAGCAAATAAACATGGCTTCAGAAATCAATGAGTTTTATGATGTACACAAAATGTTTTACTTAAGAATACTATCCATTTCTGCTTAGTATTCCCACTTGTTTAATTACACCCATAATAAAAGTCACTGCATAATAAGAAAAAGGTTGAATGTTACAGTGCTCCTAGACAACAGGTTAAAGCGATGACTAATCAAATGACCCAAACACAACTTCTTTTAATTATAAGGATTGGGGAACTAATCCTGATGGGCTATACTGTAGTCTTATTGAGCAAAAATTCAAAAGATTAAGTTGGGTATAATGAGGTTGGACACAAGTAGAACTGGGGTCTATCAGGACTGAGGCCCATCTGTAACACTACTATATTCACTGAAACACTACCAACATTTCTGTAATGCTCAGCTTCACTTCAACACTACTAGCACCCCTGTAACATTCTCCTTTTCACTGTAACAATTTCATCATCCCTATTATATTCTCAGCTTTACTGTAACCAGCTCCCCTGTAACCTTTTTAGCTTCACTCTAACACGACCTATTTCAGATGAACTAAAATTTTAACTTTAATCAACAATGATTTACCAGCAGTTTCCATGACACATCACAAGACAAACATATAACTCTATTGAGTTTCACAACATTTGGGATAGAAAGGTAAGGTACACACATACAACAACTGTAGTAAACAAATCACAATAGCAGGTATTACAGCACAATACATAACATGCCATAGGATGTCAAAATCTAAAGTCAGTACCTGTACAGTTTATAACATTGATTATCACATAACCAGCAGCCAAGGACCTTCTCTGTCCCATATGTGCAAAAATTTAATACAAAGAACATGATATATTCAATGATGATGGGTGTTATATCTATAGATAACTTCCACTGATAACTGCCATTTAAGGGTTAAATCATGCAGGTCTTAAAATAGAAAGCTCAAATACATGCAGCATAAAATGATGGACATTAATGTATCATGGAAACTTCTCCAGAGTAAGACAAACTACCTCAATAGCATATGAGAAGTAAGTGATCAAACAGTAAGGCAAAGTGTGGACAGCAAAGCCAGAGTTCTTGAAGGCTTGTATGTTAAATTTCCTCTTGACAAGAGAAGTGAAAAGGCACCTGTTTCACCTAAACCATGGAACAAAGACTGGCCAAAGTGTATAAGAATATAAGAACATAACAATGGAGAAAACTGCAGCGGGCCTATTGGCCCATACTGGACAGTCCCATTTACATCCAACTCCTATTGCTCATATATCCATCCAACCTATGTTTGAAGCTATCCAGCGTATTCGAGTTAATGATGATGTTTGGTAACTTGTTCCACTCGTCCACTACTATATTTCCAAATCAGTGTTTACCTATCTCACTCCTAAATTCAAATTTGTCTAATAAAAAACCATTGCTACAAGTTCGCTCCTGGTTGGATAGTTTGAGTACCTTAGTTATATCACCTTTGTTTATCCCCGACTTCCATTTATACACCTCTATCATATCGCCCCTCACTCTACATCTCTCGAGGCAGTGAAAATTAAGATGCTTTAACCTGTCTCTGTACTCAAGGTTTCTAATGCCTGGGATTAGTCTTGTCATTCTCCTCTGTATTCTTTCTAGGGATTCTATATCCATTCTGTAATACGGTGACCAGAATTGAACTACGTAATCCAAGTGAGGTCTCACAAGCACAAGATATAGTTTTATGATAACCTCTCTAGTCTTGTAACTAACACTCCTTTGTATGAACCCAAGTACTTTATTAGCCTTGTTTCGAGCAAATACACATTGTTTACTTGATTTAAGATTCCAACTTATCATTACTCCTAAATCTTTCTCACATTCGGATTTCTCTATAACATCGTTGTTCATCTGATATCTGATTTCTCTATTTACATCTCCTAGACTAATTACTTTACATTTGTCCACATTAAATTTCATCTGCCATTTTTCAGGCATAATGTATTGTCATAATGTATTATCTAATGGTAGATCCTGCTGTCATATGGCATCACAAAATTTGTGACCAAGTCCCAGGTTGCTGATCTGACTTTCTGCCTCATTTACACACAATTGCAGGTCTCAATTGTTTCTTTTACAATTGACAACACAACATACATATACAGTCAACCCTCACTTTACGCGGTTAATTCAACCCACAGGGTACCACGGAAAGTGAGAAACGCGTAAAGTGAACAACATAACATATGGGATTAATTGAAATAGAGACAGGGCCGACCCCCAAACTCCACTTTTTGATGACACACAACTATGTTGTAGTAAAAATATTATCTTA